CGTTTATGTGGGACCATTTGCAGTTCTCAATTTGAGTTACTTGATTAAAAACTCAATTTGGGACTGTGATTATTTTGAGGCAAATTGTGCAATGAAATCCTCATTTATAATCGCTGAAATTTTATCCAATTCAAAATCAATGATCATTGCAAATTCACCTGTGAATTCAACAAGTCTGGATGGATAACTTTAATTATTTCTGCCATCTTATTAGGGAAAATAAAAGCAATCTCCAAAAAGACTATTTTACTTTGCTTATGGTACAAAAAGAATCACATGTTTTACCAGTGGCTTATGTAAATCAATGAATTTATTTATTTATTACAAATTTTTATTCATTTTCGCAATAATGCAGAGTTTGTTCTGTCTTTAATTGTGATATATTGTAACTCCAGCTGAAATATCGAATGATTTGATTTAAAATGAATGATAAATAGATGATACAATAAAAACTGGGCACATCATTCCTCAATATTCATCCAAGTCTCAGAGAGAAAAGAGATATTTAATCGCTGCCCCTCTATCTCCGTCAGACCTGCAGAATGGTCGTGAAGATTTTGACAATTCAAGTGGAAGAAACATTGAACATTGAATCCTCTTCTATTATCTAAGAAATCCATCAATACTTTACTGTCACCAAACGATTTTGAGAAAATAATTGTACAATTATCGATGTTGCTGTTTTTCAATCAAAATAAGATGTTGAATTATTATCACATTACAGGGTCATGAATACTTGTCACTGGTGATATGTTTAGCTCTTGTTACATCCACGTGGAACAGATAAAGCTTGTTATTCTGTAGCTTTTCTGTTTTCTTCATTGGCCTTTTTTTGTGGTGTTCCTGAACAATCTTATCGAATCTGCCTACTTGTATATTGTGTCTTCATGTTATAAATAGAATGATTTCTTTGTGCTGCAATACTTTTGTTATTGTTCAGTGGAATGGTTGGTATTCTTTGCCATGGTGCACCAAGCTGATTGACCTGCGTGTGTTTTTTTTTCCATGTTTTTCCCCTTTTGCCTGGATCGGGAAAACTTGGCCACGTGAGATTCTCTGGATTCAATGTTCAATATGAATCAATTTTTCTACAACTCAATTTGCCAGCCTAAGGCATCACAATGTATAACTTATTCATTACAAATGTTACTTCACACGGTAAACCACCAGTATCAATGAATGATATCTTAAGAAGCTTCTGCTAAGAAGTAATAAGAAGTAATAAGACTTACTCTGAATTTAGACGCCTTTTGCTACTAAAGTAATTTTGTTATTCTGTACAGTTCAAAACTTTCTAGTTATCCTCAGTGAAAGAATTGTTTACGAGGAATAGATCCATGCAGACAGGATGGTTTTCTTTTTCTTTGGACGAAAATCATGATTCGGCTGGATCTAATTCGTCATTCATCAATATCATGCCACTGCCAACCTTAATCAGCAATCATGAAAATATTTGATCGGATTGTTGTATGACTTCATCCATCTTCATTCACCTGTGTATAGATTGGATTAGCCTGAACTGGTGGTGATTGGTGCAAATCACCGATCAAAATCATATCCATTTCTTTGAAATTTCTTTCAAATTGCCAGTGATTTTGAATCAATTTGTAATAATAACGAAGCACTGATCATACTGATTTCATAAATGGTTATTACTTGAAAACATTCGAATAGCAATAGCATTTGAATAGCATTGTTGCACTACTTTACGAAAAATAATTTGAAAGTGATGTTTTCAAAGTAGTGGGCTTATATTAAGAGACAAAGTGATTTAGGTTGGTTTAGAGAAAACAGAAAGTCGAATTAAGTACAGAAAAGGTCAAAATGATAGAAATTTTACTTCTATAACACGACAAATTTTTGCAATATTTGCTCTTTGATTTTCTCTACATTTCCGAATTACTCCAATCATTGCTGAAGAAGTTTTGCTCTATAAAAAAGAGTTAAAAACCATTATTTGTACTTATAAAGATTTAAAAGACTTAATTTTTAAATTTCTAGAATTAAACTTGGATGAAACTCTAGAGCTATTTCGACCTCATTGAAAATGCTTCATAGAAACGCAAATGAAATGAGTTTAAAATACGAGTTAATTACTGGCAAAATATAATAAATAATATTAACTGAAGAAAACTGGTCATTTCTGTCGCATTGCAGTTTATTGTCAATTATGTGCTATTTTAAGGTAGTTTGTTTCTACAAATTTCATTGTTTCTTACATAGGCCCGTTAACATATCTTAATTTATAAGAATGGCTAAATTAATCGATTTATAATAAGCTATGAAGCCAGTCCTATGAAAAAAACTGCCATTGAATTCATTCAGGCGGCGGATAAAGTAATAACAATAATAGTGATAATTAGCAGTAATAATGGCAATAATGACAATAGTGATAGTTGCAATGATAAGTGAAACAAATAATAGTAACAATAATAATAGTATGGATAATAATAATAATAATAATAATAATAATAATAATAATAATAATAATAATAATAATAATAATAATAGTAATAGTAATAATAATAATAATAATAATAATAATAATAATAATGATATTGGCTTATAATTACTAACAGTAATAATAATATGAATAAAAAGATAGCAAGCATAGTAACATAATAATATTAAAAGTGTTAGCAATTAATGTAAAAATAAATAATTGCAATATTGACAATAATGGAAATTATAATGATAAGTGGCTTTTTTTCAAATAAAAAACTATAATTCACATAAGATTAATTCATTAAATTAGCTGGTATAAATTTTAATTTTATCGTTCTGACGGTTCTTAGAAAAGAATTAAAGAGTTCAAATAATCTTCAGTCATTATAAAAAATGTATAATGAGCACAATCATATGGATTGAAAAAATATTTAAAATCTAAATATAAGGCCAAATCGCCAATTTTTTTAATATAAAGCGTTGATGAAAAAAAATGCAAAAGCTCAGCTGAGGGCAAAACGATGATAAACGAAATGCAAATAACATTAGGTGGATAAGGATTTCAAAAAAGCAGGACAAGAGATATAAAAGGTAGCATTATAGTGGAGAAATTGGGCTGGCTTATAAAGCTTATACCAAATCATTTTCATAGCCCGCCCAGCATTTTAAATAAGGCAAATAATTATGAAAAAATTTTATTAAAGAAATATGTTAAAAAAGGGCCGTAGATACAGTTAAATAAAATTACAAGGCCAACACAGACGGGTGAATCTATTGCACTGAGGTTTAAATCCTGCCTCCAACAGAAGTGGGCCTAGTATTGAAAATTCAGATGGTTTTGGTTCACCAGAATTTCCGCCAGTTGATTCTTATTTAACCACACCCTATAGTCAACAAAGTTTAACAAGAAATGATAGGTCCTAACCGCTTATTCTTTGTTTAATCGAAATGTTAAATACTATTAATGCTTCTTTTTATTTATCTATTGAAATCAGACAGATCACTTTTATACCGAATGCAATAATTTTCAACTATACAGCTTTATTTGACTAGGATTAAATAAATCTTTGTGATAGGCACTATTAAATCTTTATGGATTATAGATTCCCTTTAATTCGCCATCGAAACTTCTTAAAACTTCTAGAAAATACTTGTAAATAGTACACCACCATTCCTACATTTTTTAAAGAGCACTCTTCATTGGTATGACATGGAGTCTCTTGGCGTACAAATACACCAGCCTCACTCGACCACCATTCCTATTATCATACCGACTCAATGACTTCAAACAAAGCATATAAGACCAGTCAGGAAAGGACCACCAGTTAGAACTTCGCCGCTTCATAACCCAACTATTAATTTAATATTAATTTAATCAACTGAACTCATTTTGTTGAAAATTTCCTCTTCCCATAGTACAATAAAATGGGGCATTAAAACATATAGATTTAAGCGAATTAATGAATGGAAATTTGTTTTTATTTTGAAAATGCAAGAAACCACAGTGATAGGATATAGGTGAGATCATTTTATGATAAGGAAAAACCGTATTTATGCGTTTAATGGAAAGTGTCTCATAGCTAGCATTCCTCTTTCGTCACTTGTGATTAGTGAGATAGTTAACGTTTCTTAATTAATTTATTTGAAACTAAAAAAAATGCAAGAGAATTTACTTAAATTACTTCTATTTCATATTAGATTTCGAAGAGTATGGTAGCTCATAATCTGTTCGTCAACAGGATGTAATATAAATCACGAAAAAAATTTCCGAGGTATATAAGAAATTCTATGATCGAAATAGAGAATTCCAGCACAGTCTTAAATGCAAAGGGTTTTCAGCAATTATTTGAATAAAAGCGATTGAAGTCTTAGTGAAGCAAAATTTAAAATCTGAGCTTAGAAAGAAGCCATAAATAGTACAAAAAATTTACAAAACATATAAATCATAAGTGAGCAATATGTCAGTTTAAATATTTGAATTTAAAAATAAAAGCAGTGAAGCGTGAAAATAATAAAAAGAAACATAAAGCAACATTTTTACCACTAGCTGCATTAAAACTGGAATAAGGCGAAAATGCAGCGTCTAACATTTCATTCAGAAATTGGCCCCTATTCATAATTTATTATTCTATAATTAGGATCAAGCTTGCAAAGTCGAACTCTTGATTATTCACAATTTTTCTCGCTAAACATTGGCCATTATGGATTACAAAACTATAAAAAAGTAAATAACTAGCAGAATTGTTTTGTTTAAAAATAATAGCAGTTTACTCAAAAAATGGAGATTACCACTCAGTCTAGATTAAGAAATTAAGAAAAAAAAAGTATTCTTAAGTGAAAGCAATAGCTACTGCAATAGTACCTGCAGTGCATCTCAATTTTTTTTTGCAATCTTTCAAAAAACAATTTTTAGCAAAAAAATATCATAATGGCAGTAAATCTGATTTAATGTATTATAATTGTGGGCGCTCAAACTAAGTTTCAGTAAAATTTCACTAACCAGCCAGCAAATATTTTCTTTTAAACCACAAGAATTTCATTTTGAATCAATAGGGATGGGTCATAGTATATATGCTTCAATCTTAAGCGCGGACGACCACGATAAAGATAAATTTTACGCGGAACTTCAGCTTTTAACATCTCTATCGAAAAATGACATGGATATAATCGAAGGAGACTGGAATGTATGTTTTGATCACGATGCCGCCACGACAAACTCAATGATTGAAAAAATACGGTATCGAGGTCAGATGCGCCAATGGAGAACGCCTTCCTTGCTTTGCAGAGCTCTTTGTTAATAATATGCTTCTGGCATAGGAGAGTATATCTAGTAAGTAGAATTCTCCGATAACTCAGTCACCGTTGAAAGGGTTAACTACCAGATATCCATTCCTATCGTGGCGCTGAAACAGGCGACGTGACCATGTTATGGTTCGAGCCAAGCTTCAGATAAAACTGACAACAGGAAACTATTCCTTCTCCTCCATAAAGCAACTATAACTCGGAGAATGGCCAGTGAAATGATATAGGGCAGTAATGAGTGCTTGTTCAGATCATTATTTCTTTGACGCCAAGCTTAACCATGACATCTTTTGCCTCGGATACAACTAAATCATAGAACTATTGCAAATGCGAACCGAATTCAACAGAAGAGGAAGTAATTTCCGTCATCCACAACCTGAATGCCAATAAAAGATGGTTTCCGGAAGGAAATAATATCAGATGTCTGGAGCAAAGCAATTCTGCTCCTAATTCTTAAAAATGATAACAGGATATACTGTAGAAAGTGTCGAAGAATCAGCCTATTAGACATCTCAGCGAAAATTTTTGCTTCTCTTTTACTCAATAGACTTATGGCGGTACGAGACAGCAGGATACGCCCTAACCAAGCTAGATTCAGGACGGAACGCAATGCTGACCAGATATTCACGTTAAGAAGGGTGTTGGAAAATCGCTTCAAATATCAACAACCCACCGTCATATGTTTCATCGATTTTGCGGCTGCATTCGATTCAATAGTTGAAAAGTAATAGGAGTGTTTCTCTTCACGGTGTTTTAGGAATTGGAATTATGACCATGATATTCTCTTTGAAGAAGTGATATTTTCTTACTTTCAGTTATTTTTTTCAAGCGTTATTCTTGAATTCTTGAAACCCTTATATCTCTCTGAAAAGTTCAAATATTTAGTTAATCGTTTCTACTTCATAAACGCATCAGATATTATTGCCATCATTGCTCAATTCGATGAAATTGAAAATCCGGGTAATGCGTCGATATAATCACATTTCATAAATCTTTCTTTTTCCTCACTTTTGCTCTTTGCAATTCTTATGATTTCTTGAGATCACGCTTTGAGCGTTTATTTATATATAGCGCTGGGTTATCCTGTACTTCTTGGTGCATATATATTGAAATTCTGAGAGGTTGTTTAATTATAAGCCGTTATGATGTACTTATTATCCCCATTATTCTTATCATTATGTTAATAAAATATGCTGCGAAATGCGATGCCTTTTCTTAAATCATTATTTCAAACCGGTGACCCTGATTCACCAAAGAAAACTTTCTTAATCGATTCTTTGGTATTGCTCTTTATATGTCAATAAAATATAAAGGACAGTTTATAGTATATGTTGTATACTTATGAAAATCTTTCTTTTGTCCCTGTTAGGCGCCATATCGTTCTTATGCCATTTTAGGCGCCATTAAGGGACCCAAGTGGATGGGTCCCAATAATATTTTAAATTAATATTAATAAATTAATATTTATATTTACAATATTCATTCGTTAATGTGTCCTTTATTTCTTCATTCTTTTCCTTTGTTTTGCCTTTTAATCTATTTGGTTTAAATGAAGCTTGTTTTTCTGACTATATATATATATTAATTGGTTTAATTACCCAAGTTTGAGGTAATGAATAAAAATTTTTATTAATTCGTGGTGTTCGCAGTTTCTATTCTACTATCCTGAGAAAATATTAATTAAATATCAGTTGGGCGATATAGGAAATTGTTAGAGATTTCATGTGCAGTATTTAATCGTATGACGATATTGGACTGAGGAAAATTGGTCCTCTTATTGGAAGTTAAATAGTTAATTTTATGAAGTGTGAAGTGAAGAGTACTGGAAGCCGTAGACAATATTACAAAAAGAATGTAACAAGGACAAAAAATAAAATTTTGCTCAGTTTTGTACTTGTAAAATGTAGTGTGTAGTCTGGGCACTGTGATCGAAGATGGATATGGCCTTGAACGACTTGAGATAAGTGATGGATAGACGATTCATCTGAAATAAGGGGCTAATCAACATTGCTTTTCGTCTATTTCTAAATGGTAGAGTAATGAAATAGGTCTCGAAAGTTGTTTGCCATTTGCCAATTGTATCGCGGCATATCTTATGGTGTTATTATCAGATGAATCATGTACAGCAAGAATTTTTGCCACAGGCCATTTACTAAGTTATTATCGCTAAGGAAAACTATTTCATTAAAGTTAGGGATGCGATTTGTATTTGATTTCTGTTATCGATTGGATCGATTTGACATTTCTTTCAATGAGTTATTGTAATCAGATTTCCAAATCTCTCAAAATTTCTAAAGAATTTGAGCTTGACCAGCTTTATATAATTGCAGATCTAGAGTTATGTTGAGAATCAATAAGCGAATCGATAGAATTCGTATTCAAAAATGATCTGGAGATGTCCAAGGCGAAACAATGGCAAGATGCGAGTAGAATTTTAAACCGATTAATGGATGTAGATTAACTAAATTTTCGATCTCTACTATTAAGGTTTTTAGATGCTCTTCAGATAAATTCTTGCCAGCTGAATACCCATGGCGTTTTTAATAATGGCAATTAATCTATCATAAATTCCGCTTGGCACCTTGGAGGTGATAAACGGAATTGATGCTGGAATCAATCCATTCCGATTTGATCAGAATTTGGCTGCTGATTCAAGATTGGTTGCATTAAGATTGATTTGGGCTAACCCCATCTCGCGATAAATCTGCGGAGGCATCAACGGGCAGATGAAAGATTACATCTCAATAAATGGCTCTTTTTGAAAGACAGGTGGATAAATAAAACGATTCAATGCTTGAAATTCAATTTTTTCGCTATTCGAGATGAACTTGTGAACGTTCATCATTACTTTGCTGAAAATTCTAAATTGTTCGTAAGATTGGATGATTTTTTGTTGATCATCAAATGTTAGGAAAACGTTATCAATATATAAATTATTGATCACCTGTCTAGAAAGATCAGTGTCAATTATTTCCAGATGAAATTTGATTACCGCCGCTAAGAGGAAAAGTCTACAGTTGAGTCCAAACGGAACTCGAGTAAATCGATAGATGATGAGAAGATTATCATCAGATGGGAGTTGATTGGCATTTTTTTAGCCAATGGAATCTTGTGACATCTCTTTGATTGTCGTTGAGGCCAACCTGAAGAAAAGCCTTTTCTAAATCACCCATTAAAAGAAATTCTCCCTTCCTTAGCCTTAAGAGCACTGCGATTAATTGAAGAATGAAAGATGGACCTTTATAAAGTTGGTTTAGCGCATGACCTTTTAGCTAAAGCATTAAAGATAATTCGCCGTTTCGTTGTTTTTTTGCCGGGTGTTATTAGTGGTATTTAGCGGATATAATAAGTCAAGTTCTTTGACTAGAACGCAGCCTTTTCAGTACCTATAATTGATCCTTGATTATTTGGTCGTATTGACCTTTTAAAAGGTGTACTTTCTTCATTTATGTCGATCTTTTATCTTTAAATATTTTTAAATCATAAATGTTCATTGGTTATGAATAATTTTGCTTTTCTTTTACCAGTTTTTGTATTCTTTGGGATTCTTTGCTTAATCTATTCCAAGTCGATCTCAGTTTACATAGAGCTAAACCGAAGTTGCAATTTAATTTTGGGTCTTGGCTTTTCCAAGACCAAGAAATAGAATAAATATCGAATTGATCTCGTTTTATTGTCTGTGTCGCCGAATGGCGAAAAAAGCTGTAAATATGATCAAGTCATCCGGATTCCGGCCCATCTTAAATTAAATATAAGCTCCCAAAAGATCATTTTTGGTCATTTTGTGCTTTTATCAGGAGAAACGAGTGGGAAGAGCGGTCGGGAGTGATGGGCATTTACATCTTATATTTGTTTTTTTACTGTATTGTTTCATTGTAGTAAGACAATTGTTTGCTTTTACTTTCTTGTGTATATTTGCGATCTTCACTAATAAAGGTTTAATTACCCAAGTCTGAGGGTTCGAGACGATAAAAATAGGAAGAGAAAGCTGGTCGCAGAGTTTATAATATTGTTAAGAAATAAAAGTCCGGCGTGGTAGGAAAGTTATTAAATATATACAGAAAAAACACAGTGGAGCGGATTCCTATCAGGAATTTTGTAAAGGTAGACATTGGAAGTGGGAATCGCCGAGCTCCCAACGAAAATTTCGTAGTACTATAGACCTTTTCTATACATTCTGCTTAAACTGATCATATGTGTCCATGGCTTCAGAAGATTCAAGGGAATCCTTGATACCAATGCCTTCTAATGTTCAAAATTGTAAGATATCTTTATGATTTATTGCACTGAAGCTCACTTTATTAATAACTTGGATTTTTCCGAAGGTTAGAATTATATGAGAAGAGGATTGTCTGCTATAATTGTACCTAAATGGGATGGGATTATATGGAGACCGGTATATGAGTCTAAACCAGTAGAGGCGGATTTTAATAGGGTAAAATAATAATCGAATCAGATTAGGATGTCGCGTGAAGCGAGTTGAAGCGAGTTTAACTTTTGTGTTGAATTTTGCCTCATTGCCATTTTTATAAATATATTTTATTTGAGATGTTAACTTAGGCTTGGTATTTGCTCTTATAATCAAGGAGCTCTTTTTTAGAATGAGTATATCAACAGGATCAATAATAATTTCGTTTGATAGCCGCAAAACTGCTAAAGTTTGTTGGCTTTTAGTAATTAACTCGAGTTTATTTTTTGATGTTTTTATGATATAAGTTTGCTGATTTTCTGAATCAAGGAGCTAGTACCTTCGTGACTTTAGATGGATTATTTGCATTGAATACTTCTGCTCCCTTACTTGGTAGGAGTAGTTGGACGCTTGGTCCTTGATTAATATTGTTTATGGCAAGTACCTCTATTTGAGCTTCTATGAGTAGATTTGAACTTTTTGGCGCAGAGCGCTATATTGTAGCCTTGGTGGCAGTAGCGACATAACATTTTTGGTCTACATTTATTTGTTAAGTGCGTTGGACTTAAGCAATTAAGGCAATGTTTGTTGTTATTCAGAAATTCCATTAAGGCAATGTTTATTGTTACTCAGAAATTCCAATCTCTTAAGGTATCGATTGTTTTACACTGGTTACTCTAGTGATTATTCTTACAGAAAATACATTTTCTAGTAATAGCTTTAGAGAGAAGGGCAAGAGACTCGAGGGGCTGATTTAGGAGCTGCTTTGGATATGAAGAAATATTTAGGTGAGAATTTATTCTGGTGATCTGGGGGCTGTTTCGGCCTTTATTGTTGAAAGCTCTGAAATTAGGGTTATTTCATTTCTCTGGTTGTGATCGAGAAGACATCCATTGAAATTCAATTTCTTCTTTTTATATCTCGAGGATTTGACGAAGATTTTGAAGATTCCACGGAGGACATTTTATTTTTTCCTGAGCGACTCTTCTTGCCACTCTCGGTGGTAATCACTCTATTTTTACCAAGAATTAAGATGGAAGTATTATTAACATCTTCACCATGATTCGCCATATGTCTCAAGATTCTTTCGATGTTTTCTCTAAGCAATCGGATGTCCTGATCCTTTGAAGATAATAGTTATAATTCATGACGGAGTGTTGCGAAGATTATTTATGAATTGCCGTATCGGTCTTTAAGAATTTTCCAAACATCCTTGCAAGATTAGTTGTCAGTGGGGAAGCCTTCAACCAGTTGTTTTGTCTCTTCATCTAGGCACGACGTTAAGTATTTTAGTTTATCGACTGGTTGCAGACTGCTTGAATCAATTGGGAACAAAAAACTGTCTCTGAATAAGGACTGGTGTACCGGTGTGACCAGTGTTGAACGGTTCCATTAAAACGAGATAATTGCAACTTTTGAAGTTGCAATGTTTGAATATTGTGCTGAAATTGAGGGAGAAAAGATTGAGAGGGAGGAAAGAGTCCTTCAATTTTAAGTTTTATTCACGTATCTAAATCAGTACTTGTGACTTTTGGTTTTAAATTAGTTGTGAATAATTTTACTTTTCTTTTACCCAGTTTTTGTGTTCTTTGGAATCGGATTCGTTAGAGGCCATCATATGGGAGGCTAATTCTACATCTTGGTCAACACTGCTCTGAAAAGCGTCGATAAGATTGAGGAGTTTTAATTTTTTCGCCTTCGAGGTCGCAAATTCGTAATAAATAGGAAAATCGGAGCATGGATTCATCATTCTCAGGGGGATCTCTAATGCTCAGACTATCCAATCTGTTTTGAGAGGAGATTATGTTCCTCTTTATAATGGTCTGCTTTTCATTTTTACAGAAATAGAAATATGATCGAAATGCAACGATATGTAGAAGAACCCAGTAAATGCAACGAATAAAAATTATGACGTGAATTAAATATGAAAATTTAGTTGAACAAGTTAGATGGTAACAATATTTGAAACCAAGCATTGTCGTAGGAAGTGCTGGATTTGTCCTTGATTGGAATTGAATGATTCGCCGTTAGGCAGCGACGGCACAAAAATTGAAAATAAGACGGCGATGATAAAATTGTAAAATTTTATTTTTAGAATCAAAGACTGATTCGAATCCAAAATATCAATAGCCACTGTGGTTCTGGAGTCCTACGCACCATGTAAAAAATAATAGAATAAATGTTTGCAGCGTAATGATGCTCGCCTGCCACGCAAATTCATTTAGAACTTAATATAACATTTTAACATTTTAGAAATTAGAAAAAAAGTTGATCTGGCTGCTTTATCAGGACAAGAGTAGTAACAATGCTCACAGCACGTAAAAATCTTATTCTCTACGTCAAACTCAAACTTACTGATGAGAAAAGACAGTCTTCGATACAAAATAAAACTACAGGCTGAAAAGACAAGTATTTTCAAAAATAAATAAGAAATGTATAAATAAAATAAAAGTCTTTAAACAACAAAAAAAATCTTAAATATTCAATTCGAACATTGGCACCTGGCTGCTTGGGTCCATTGATGAAAATTTCCTTTTGGCAGGTCGCAGTCACTAATTTCAAATAATAATTAGAATAAATATCGCATTTCACAACACTGTTATATCGTGTTATTTTTTTTCACTGCTAGTCATAGTTGTGTGGTCTTCCACTTTTTCTTTCCCCTTAACAAATTTGCGATAATTAATGATCAGTAGTATAATCACATTAGGTCTTTTTTCTCATGGTTTTATTAGAACATTTTGGAAGGCCAAATGGAGCTGGCTGAGGAAGAAATTATCTTAGAATTTATTCCAACTATTAAGTACTGGAACAAATCTACTTTATCTTTCTGTATGTAATATACTAAATCGTGTTACTGTGGCCAATTTATTCATTCTTTGGTGAAATACCCTTATCTTCTATCTTCTCGCGTCACATTCTCACAAGTTTTTCATTTTTTTAGAATCATTTTTGATTCACTATAACGGTTGTATTTATGAACTCACCAAATGTAATTTAATTGTATTAAATGTATAATTGTATTTGCAATTTTCTTCTTGCTAGTTGTCGTCATATACTGTAAGTTCAATGCATTAAACTTATTTCTCCCCTAGTTTCCTCATCAGTCAGTTCTATGGTTATTATATTTTTATCTAATGAAACTATTGTTGTCGATGCTACAACTTGATCTACACGAAGAAAATAATCAGATTCAGGCAATTTATGGTTATTAACTATTCAATCTTGCTAGATTCGCCAAAACTGATTCAATTTCATTTTTTAATGTTTTCAAACTTCAATTTTTTTAATTTGGTTTTTATTTCAACACCATCATCTTGTACCAAATTACTCATGCTTTTATAGTCTGTAATAGGTTGGTATAGTTGTGCGTGAAAGTTCATTAAATGGTTAAATGGCATTTCATTCCATAATATATAATTTATAAATAATGAAATAATTTATCATTATTTTAAATTTATAGTCCATGCAAACGCTCAAAATCATAAATATGGATGCATTTATGAGATGACCTTTTTTAAATAAACTTTGCCATAATTTATCACTTTTTTTTTTCTGCGAACTTTCTACTTTTTGTTTAGTTTATTGTCCTAATTAATAGGATGAAAAAAAGATTTATTTCGCAAGAAATTTATTTTTATTTCACTTGGGAATAGAAATACAAATAGATCCTCAGCGTCATTTGGCTTTCATATAAATGATAGGTTTATTCCTTTCGCATGATAGGAATTAAACTTGTGATGGTTGATCTTAACCGTAGTAAAATACCATTCAGTCAACCATCTCAAGTTCTAAATTTCAAGAAATAAAATGAAAAAGCTGGATCAGTTTTTTACGCTTATTATTTGGATAATTGACTGCACAGTATATTCTAGCTTTAACGATAAAATAAATGCAATTTAGTCGATTATTTCATGTGTTTGGATTATCATACGTTTTAGAGTATTTTAGAGAAACTCATGCTTCATATTTTGGTTAAATGAAAAAAAAACTATTACTATGTCTAAGAAAAGCCACGATTCTACTGGCATAATAAATAGATTTCGAGTAAAATCAAAAAAAAGTCGAAAATTAAAATCCAAAACAACAAAGAATATTTGCTAAAAATTAAAGGAAAATTGAAGGATAATAATACATTGAAAAAATCTGATTGAGGGAAGCAGCAAAAATTCTCGAGGAATTTATAAATATATAAAAACAATTGACAGAAAACATTTATGTCATTGCTTCAAAAAACGATTGCATAATTTAAATGTGCAAATTTGAAAATAGTAAAATTTTAAAATAAAAACAATAAAAAAAAATTGTGTAATATGAAAATGGAATTCTTCTCCCCATTGTAACTGAATCAACATTTTTTGCTTTTCGAAATTTGATTTCATTTTTCGTTTTTCATTAATATTTCTGTGTTTTATTTGCCAAGGGTAAAACTTAAACAAAGTAATAATAACAAAACGAACAATATTATTAATTTATAACCATTAAAGGTTGAATGGTATGCTGTTTCGATTGAAGTCAAGAACTCGATTCCTGTCTTTGGATTAAGCTTGTCATTAAAAGCAAACTTAGGTGGTATAGGGACAAACCGATGTTTCTATCTATAAGTAACTCTTTGGCAAATGGGCTCTGAGAATTAGCCAGTGGGAAAATAGTCAGCTAAATCAGAAATGGTGGAATACTATTCCTGGCTAAATTGTTGCTTTGGTAGCGAAACTGTCGTTGAAAAAATTTTTATCGAGCAATGGTCGTTTAATTTTATTTTAAACCCGTTCGTAGAACTCATATAAGCAATAGCCTCATATTTTTTAACAAAAATAAAATATTTTCATTTGTTGTCTCCAAAAAAAACCTCTCCGATTATTGAACAATCTTAATTAGAATTATTAAATTCATAGAAAAACCATTCGTTTCATAATTTTTTATTTTCGTCAAAGAAAAAGTTTTGCCTATAAATAAACAGCAAAGCAATAATACTGCAGCAATGTTTTGGACTAGTAAGGACTATTTTAACTACTAAACTATTATTCTTTTTTGTGCTTTTATGTAGTAAATTCGGAGGAATACAAATTGTGTTTAGTAATTCAACATTCCATATTCAAAGTTTTTAACAGCTGGTTTGCTCATCGATTTAATTATCTATCTTTAAAATTATAAGTTTCCTGGATACTGCAATCAGTTTGCTAATTCACTGTCAACTTCTTCAAGAAATATTGGTTTTACTCTTATCATTTTCAAAAAAAAATGTAATAGCATTCAATTGGATTTTTTGAATCCATTTTGAATCCATTTTGATTTCGTTTCTTTTTATCTAATTTTTCAATTATCATATACAGTTTTTTCATTTTTTCATTTTTACATTTTAACGAAAATATACGATGCAAATCATTCCTTACTTTTAATTTCACTGTTGCGCTTATTGCTTCCTTTCTTGCTTAATTTTGTAATATGTAGTATAAATTAAAAAAACAGTTATATACCAACTATCTACTTTCTTCTCAGTCATTACGTTCTATAGCATATTATACACACG